TTACATCTTTAATTTTTCGAGGAGGAAAGATATCCCAGTCTGTATACATGCTTCCAGAATCCCTTTCTCTGCCATCAATCCAGATGCTGTACGATGCATCAGGTCTAAGAATGAATGTGTAGAAATGGGTTAATTTGTCTGTTTCACATTGTATATCCTTTTTGATTGGATAATTCTGGCCTTGGTAGGAAAGTATAACATGAAGTTTCTTAGTCTGTGTACCACAGATATCCGGTCCAAACATCATACTGCAGAAACAAAGACTTTCTGTAAATTAAAGTGGAAAAAGTGCATACCATGTAAACAAACTACTATGACAACTATATACGTCAATCAATTTACAGTAACTACTCAGTCACAGATACTGATCATTGAAATTTGACCAGTGTTAGATGTGTATCCAAACTCACAACCGCTTACTAATCAGGAAAATAGGAAAACTGAAATTTGATGAATGTTAGATGTGTATCTGAACTCACAAGTCACAACCCTTTTTACTAATTAAGGTCATCGACATGCTGTCTTAGTGAAAGTTGGGGCTAAGGAGTGACATTTTACAGAAATATGTTCAGGCAGATGATTAGTCAGTCTCATCAAAGGAACATATTTAACATCAGAAACAATGTGTGAATTCCCCATTTTTCAGAAACCAAAAGATGGGACTGTGAGACAAAATATTGACAGCACACAAGCAGATCTTATGAAATCATGCCTAAGCAGCTCCAAAAGTTCTCGCAGTTACGGGATATCTTAAAATGAGATGGAGCAAGTTCACATGCAAAAGGTAGTGAGGAAAAACCTGTAAGGAGTGTCTCCCCCGAATTTCTTCTGGTTGACATATCCAGAGAGAAGCTTTATGTAACCTCCACCACATTCAATGTCTTGCTCAAGCTTTATAGAGTACTGTACAACCAATGTTCTATTCTTGTTACTAAATTCTGGTATCTTAGCAGAGATGGCGAAATGTTTGGCATCACTTGACGTCTGAATACCTACAAAATCACAAATCACAATCATATGTGGTAAATTCCCCATGGTCAAACAAATATACCCCTACAAGAACAGAGAACTAAAGCTAAAAGCAAGTCAAATATTTGCACTATGTACACAATGAATCATCTTAGCATACACAATCCCAGTATTTACTAGTTTTTTCTCAATACAGATCTTAATATAAAACTATACAAGTCATTATATATATTGCAATACACTAAGAAAAGTATGTAACTATGTTGTTTAAGTTGTTCTACACACATGAAGACTTCTAAAAAACTGTTACGAGTCGAACCTTTATCATCAGGATCACCAGCCCATTTCCCAGCTGTATGCTTAAAGGAGCCTGCTTTCCCTTCACTCCTTTTCCAGTCAGACTTCACCCATCTGCTCTGCCAATCATCTTTTTAAATAATCCAATATGGAAAAAAACAAAACATTAATCAGTGTATAATCACAGTTAAACAACAACAACAACATACCCAGTGGGGTCTAAATATTGATTCTTTTCATACCATTCACAGAAAAAATGGAACAACAAGCTCAAAAATGAAACTATGAAGTACCACTAACTGAAGCAGAAACTAAGCAACCAAATGAACAAGAAAGAAAAATTATGGGTCTAACCGGAAGTGTCTAAAAATTGATTCTTTACATACCACTCAAAAAAAAAGAAAAAAAAAAAAGAAAAGGAACAACAAGCTCAAATATGAAACTATGAAGTACCACTAACAGAAGTAGAAATTAGACAACCAAATGGACAAATCCTTTAAAGAAAAATTCTGGGGTAGTGTCTAAAAATTGATTCTTTACATACTATTCACAGAAAAAATGGAACAACAAGCTCAAGTATGAAACTATGAAGTACCACGAACAAAAGCAGAAATTATAGAACCAAATGGACAATTCCTTTAAAGAAAAATTCTGGGGTCTAACCAACAGTCTCTAAAAATTGATTCTTTACATACTTTTCACATAAAAAATGGAACAACAAGCTCAACATTGAAGTACCACAAACAGAAGCAGAAATTGAACAACCAAATGAACAATTCCTTCAAAGAAAAATTCTGGGGTCTAAACAAAAGTGTATAAAAATTGATACTTTACATACTACTCACATAAAAAATGGAACAACAAGCTCAAAACTAACTATGAAGTACCACTAAAAGAAGCAGAAAACAACAATTAGTACCATCAAATTGTTCTTCAAAGAAGATCTCAGCTAATGAAGATGTAATAATTGAAAACAGTAACAAAACTAGTAGAAATGATTCAAGTGAGAAGACTAGTAGTAGACTTTTTCTTTTTTCATTCTTGGAAAGAGCCATTTGCCCAATGTGTGAATTCTATGGTCATTGGAATAATTATAGGAAGTTGGTTTTAAGATTTAGACCTTGAAATTTCCTTTAACTACATAATCACCCTGTTCTCTTGTTCAAACCTTATTTGAAATTATTTTTTTATTAGTTTGTTTAAAAAATAATGATATATTTTTTTTGTATTTGAAAATAATTTTTCATTTCACTTTTAATGATAATTTTACAGTAATATAAGTATTATATAATATATTTAAAATCATGAGTTTTGAATATTTATAATTGCATAAAGTACTGATAATATCTTTATTCCTTCAATTATTGATTAAAAAAAAAATCATTTTCGATATCTCATTTGACCTATTTGACTTCAATTAATTAAAACATGCAATTTTGATATATTTACTTGTGAATAATTACAAGAAAAACATAAATCATAATTATTAGTTGTCCCATATCAAATATTGTAAGTATAATACATTTTCTACATAAAATGATTAAATACGTGCATTTCAACTAATAAGAATTTAATGTGATTAATCAAATAGGAGGGGAAAATATTATATTATTGTGAATTTAGAGTTACCCTTCATCTCAATTTATATGACATTTTTCAAATTTTAAGATTCAAGCAAGTCTTATTTTTATCGTAATTATATATCTTTGAATGTGAATTAATATGATTGACAGTACTTTTTGCATAGTTTTCAAATAAGCAATTTTATTTTAAAAACATAAAAGTTATACGTCCAAACTTACGATCTGAATTAAACTGTTTGATCTAAAATATCAAATTGTATCATACAAATTAAGACGAAGAGAGTGGAGTAAAAATTTTAAATATCCTTTTTTTTCTTTTAATTATTATGTCTCAAATTAAATTATGTCAAACAAATAAAATAAGAATGAATATTTTTATCTATTTGACTCTTTCTAAAGTTTTATCCAATCAAAGAAGGACACGTCGTTATGACCAACGAGTGTTGCTTCTAGTACATTCTATTAGGTCCTAAAGTCGACTTATTGGGAACTTTTAGATTTATTTAAAAATAATTAAATGATTATAGATCAAATCACATGACATCCATACTTAAATTGCAATTATGTGTATTAAAATTGCAATAAGTAACAATGAATTTGCTACCCCACAATCTCAAATTAGCTAATATTACTTATATGAATTTAAAAAAATTATTACAAATATAAAATTAGTAATATTAGTGAAGTTTATCCTAATATTATGATTTGGTTGAAATGTATGTAACAAAAAAATTTCAATCTAATATATCATTGAAAATTTCAATTTTTAGAAAAATAAATTAACTTTTGCAAATAGCAGAAAAAACAAAAAACAAAAAACAAAAGGTATAAAGATATTTTTTTCTTACAAGAAATTGATAATGTATTTTGTGTTAAGGTTGCTTATTGAATGAATCAGACGGATAATTATATTTAATAATTTAATTATCGGATATCAAATCTTAAATATATTAATCTATTAGCCCATCAATAAGCTACAATCGATTCGGTATCGGATTAGTAATTAACGGATGATTATCTAGTGTATTGATTTAATCATTTTATATTCCCTTCTTTACCTTCACTCGTAAATATATTGATCTCCCATAAAAAAAAATAAAAAATCTAGCCCTACGTAAGCTGATAATTCTATAACTTTAAATCACATTGAGAAAATATACGAAAGTATAAATTTTGAAATGCATACACATAATGAATATACTTACGGCTAAATGTAACTATGATCATCTTAATGGATTAGAGGTTTACCAATAAGAAAATTGATAAACCGTTAACTATAAAATTGTAATTCGCTCACCAGCCATTAATTTGATAATTCAATATTGATAAGCCAATAAGTCAAGGCTTATTGGTTACAGTTCCACTATGAAGAACCTTATCTCGAAATAGGTCCAACACTTGCCTTGAATCAATTTTTAGATAAATGAGAAATATAGAAATAAAAATTAGTTATAAAAATATCCCTCATTTATAAAAAAGAAATTTCCAAAAATACAGATGTATCCATTTATTTTTTACCTATAAATCGCATTTGATGCACACAAGTTATGTGTTAAGAGCATAATACTTCTATTACCTTCTTGTGCCATCATTCACAATTTCACATCTCCCTCCTCTCCTCTCTTTCATTGTCAACAAAGAACTCATTATTATTTTTTATAATCAAGATTTATAACCCGCCCTTTGGACCAATCATAAACTTCTATTTATAACTCCATTAATTGAATATGGATTATAAATCATGTTTATTGAGTACAATTCGTAAATGGCATTAGAGATGCTTCATTTAATACCATTTATAAATCACATTTATTTAGATTAATTCAAAGTCTGAAGCTATTTTTTAAAAAGTTAATTCAACGGCTCATATCTATGTTGTAACAGGAACAAACATTTTAGCTCAAATTTGTTGAATACAATAAAATTTGTTGAATACAACTCATAAATCGTGTTAAAAATAATTTATATTTATAATACCACTTATAAATCACATATATTTGGATCAATTCAAAGCCTAAAAATATCTTTTAAAATATCTGAATAAATGATATAAAAGAGATCCAAACTAATTATAAAAATATCCATAATTTATAAATGAGAAATTTTCCAAAAAAAAGATTTTATTCATTTATTTAGCTTTTATATAGCCATCTTCAAGACAACTTCTTTGTACCCTCTTTTCACTTCTCTCTTTCAATGGCGGCCAAGAACGCATTGTTGAAGTACCTTAGAGTTGAATCTCGTCTTCCACAACAACTACAATTGCAAAATCATAGATTTATTGGAACCCCATTTGCCCATTTGCTCAAACGTCACTTCTCAGAGGAAGTTAGGGGGTCATTTCTTGATAAGTCTGAAGTGACAGATCGTGTTATTGATTGTGTCAAGAACTTCCCAAAACTCGACCCATCAAAGGTTTTTTTCAATATTTTGAATTAGATTATTGTTATTTGGTTTGTAGTGAAGCAAAAAATTATTTGCTAATTAGAATGAAATGAGCTGAGATAGAATATGTTGGTTTTGTGTTTATGATGTATTGATTGATTTTAGTTGTTACAAGGTCAAGGATTTGAAAAGATATTAGCTTGTTGTTTGGGTGTTTGGTTAATTCTTGTTTTAAGCTTTCTATTGGGAGTTTGCTACATTGGATTAGAAAGATATGAGCTGGTTGTTGGTTTTTCTTGGTTTACCAATCATGGGATTACACTGGGTATGTTGTTGATGTTGGACTTTTTTTTTTGGTTAGATCAGTTTTGTGCATGGGGAAGTTCTTGTTTTAGACTTTCTATTGCGAGTTTGCTACATTGGATTGGAAAGATATGAACTTGCTGTTGGTTTTGTTGGTTAAATCAGTTTTGGGCATGGGGGAAGGCTTGATTTAGATGTTCTTTTGTGAGTTTGCTACGTTGGACTAGAAAGATATGAGTTTTTTTTTGTTGGTTAAATCCGTTTTAGGCATGTGAGAAGGCTTGCTTTAGACTTTCTGTTGTGAGTTTGCTATGTTGGACTAGAAAGATGTGAGCTTGTTGTTTGTTTATTATGGTTAAATCAGTTTTAGGCATGGGGGAAGGCTTGTTTTAAACTTTCTATTGTGAGTTTGCTACATTGGATTAGGAAGATATGAGCTTGTTGTTGGCTTTTTTGGTTAAATCAGATTTAGGGATGTTGGAAGGCTTGTTTTATATCTGCTGAGAGTTTGCTATATTCATCTTTGGATGCTTATGTATTGTCTATTTATGTGCTTGCTAGTTCTTTTGATTTGTGGCGAGCTGATGTTTGCTTTTGAGCTAGAAATGAATACACACTGTACATTTTCTTTTTTGGCTAATATTTTTATGTATAGACTCTACACATGTGAGCTTCACATAGTCTGCATGCACACAAAGGAGAGTTGGGGATGTGTGGATGGCCAGCGGAATGATAGTGCGAGTTACGATTCATACGTGCCCCTACCTAAGCACACGATGAAATGAGTCTAGATAGAGCATAATGGATTTAGAGGCTTCATATAGCCAATGCAACTATTTAGTATTGCCGTGGATTTGATTGTTTGATTATTTAACCTTTTAGATAGAAGTCGCCTGACTACAGGGTTGTTTGGAAGCAGGGAAAGTAGGAACAGTAACTCAATTTATGAAGAGAAAAGGAAAAAATGGAAGTAAATCAAAGTAAAAATAAAGATAAGCAAGTTTAGAGTGAAATGTGGATGACATGTTTGAGAAGTCAAAAACTCCTTACAGTTACCAATTTTTTTTAAGAAAAGAGTCAAAAACTCCTTACAGTTACCAATTTTTTTTAAGAAAAGAGTCAAAAACTCCTTATGATTCCTCCTTTTTAGCTTGCCTGCTTTCTGCAATTTGAAAATGCAATATAAGCATGAACCTTATGGTTTAATGATGCATCTTTCTTTATCCCATATTCTATGCCTAAATTCCCGAATTTATCAGAGTCGAAGCAATGCCTGTTCCTCCATCCCATATTTTTTCATTCAGCTGGTAGAGAGGATTGCTTCGAATTACTTAATAGCCGTAAGATGGAGACTCCTGGTAAATACCTGGAATGCTAGGGTGTCTACCTTTGCCAATTTTTTCTATCTGAGATGCCACAAGGATGTCTTGTTTGTGCTGAATTTATTTGAAAATATTCTGACCTTATTGTATATAAACGGCTTCTTATTAAGTTCTCTTGCAAATTGGCAGAAGTGCCCTATGTGAGTTAACCCGAGCTTGTAGTGCCAATAGAACAAAGATTTTATAATGAATTTGCTGACCTTTATCAAGGAACTCTCTCTGTGTGCAAGGAACTTGGTTGATTAAGTTTTTTTGTTTTTGTTTTTGGGAATTAGCATTTAGAAGCACTACTAAGGTTGTGTTGAAACCCACATGTCCGATGGTTGATTCAGTATCTGTGTGCAAGGAACTTGGTTGATTAAGTTTTTTTGTTTTTGTTTTTGGGAATTAGCATTTAGAAGCACTACTAAGGTTGTGTTGAAACCCACATGTCCGATGGTTGATTCAGTATCTAAAGGATAGATCTTGATATTACGTTCTGTTGTTTGATTTACTCTTCATGCTTATTTAAGTGATATAGCTTACTTTGTTCATTTATGCTACTATAACCCAGCCATATCATGTTATACTTTTTAATCCTAGTTAGTCTTGGATGTGGCTTTGTTTCAGATTATTTTAGGTTGTTTACATTCTCTTTAGTCTTTACTATTACCACTAAGGCATGTTCTTTTTATATTTACACCTGCAGGTTACTCCAAATGCCCACTTCCAGAATGATCTTGGTTTAGATAGTTTAGACACTGTGGAAATTGTTATGGCCCTTGAAGAAGAGTTTGCGTTTGAGATTCCTGACAATGAAGCTGATAAGATTAGCTCCATTGATCTAGCTGTTGCTTTCATTGCATCTCACCCCCAGGCTAAATAAAGGAACAGACTAGCCTTGAGTTTGCTTAGACTGTGTTGGCCTGTGGTTAATTGTACGACTTCTGGTCAGCTCGTTTAAGTTTTGGATAATTCATAACAATGTCAATCACTTCCATTATCTAGTGAGCTTATTCGCTTAAGAACTTCATGTTTTGATGTCTATACGGATAAGAACTTCATGTTTTGAAATAAATGAGCTGCAGTATACCATTTATTTGAATTAAATTTCTGGAAATGGATAAAATGTTCTTTGTATCTCATTATGTGATTGTAGTTGATGTGTCAATAGTCCACACATTGCTCAATGGTGAAATCAATTGCTGTAATTTAGAAGTGGAGGAATCAATAAGTCATTTTATGGAAGTCTTGGAAAGGACCAGTTAACTATATTTATCTAACAATGTTTCCTGTTGATTTTCCTAGTCAACAAGACATGAGATGATAAAATTGGCTTCTTTTGGCCATCTGGCCCATGGTTCGAAATTTGTTGAATGAAAACAGGATTTGAATCTGTCATATGTGCTTAACCCACACTTCATAAGTTAAGCGCACCCAAAGACTTGTGTGGTTTAGTGAAATCCATTAAAAGCAAATAAAAGTAGATAAAAACATAGATATGATTAGACGTAGTCATATATATAAACTCTGAAATTCATGTTTCTTGAGTAACCCCAGAATGGAGAGATTTAAAACAATCAGTCGCCTACTTATTGTGGACATGAACAAATACCAGCTTTGGTGAAACAAAAACAGAAAAAAGGTTCAAAAAAGTAACAAATCATGGGGCAAGCCTTTGTGGGTCGCGAGGGAAAAGTGATGTCTTGCGAATGTTATTGAGAGCACAGAAAAGCATCACCACACGCTCCAATCCGACTCCAAATCCACCATGGGGAGGTGCACCATACCTTCACAACAGGCAAAACACAAAATCAGGTGCAGATATTAGCAGAAATGGATGCAAGATTTTGAACTTGATAGGTCCAACCTTTGATATTCTAACACTAACTTTCAATATATTTAGTGATCTTTTACACTAATAAACTGACGATCCTCTATACATAAGTTACCATTGCAAACATATCTACAGCAAATGCATGATGATCTGAGCAGGCATAATTGGCAAGACATGAGAATAAGTAGCCAAAAACTTAGCTTGAATTCATTGATGACATCAATCTCACAGACTTACGAAGTCCAAGAATCTCACAGTGGTTTCTAAGCTTAGGTTTACCTAAATTCTGAAATATAAACTTGATTCCTCACACATTCCATAAGCACTGAAGTATGAAACACATGGAAGATGCAACAGAAAATGGCTGAATTCACACCCTACAAAGAAAAAGTTGCATGCCCACGACATACGTCTCACTTCCCTTTCCAAAATGGCTCTATGGCCTTGATCCTATAGACTTATTGGCTGTTCCTTTCAAAAATAAAACCTTCACCCAGCGCTGATTAAACTTTATGTTCAAGCAAAGAAAATAATGGAACATTGAATTTAGTATTAACGACCTACAGGCTAAATAAAGCCACACAAAACATTCAATTATAAAAGTCTACTTCGTTAAATAAATAAATTAAAAAAAAACGATCCTTGATGATTGAGAAGAGAGTTTTAACTTTTATGCACTGATAGAACAAAGAATTTTCATACTATAGGCTCACTTAAAAACCAATTAGAGGTACTTTATATGGTTATCGTTGTTGGCACTCACAAAAGATTATCAGTTAGACTAAATATTGACTGAAGTTTTTGAATTTCTTTTTGAACAATTTCTGGATTTGACTGAAGCTTTTCAAGTATAGAAGACAAATTGAATCACAAAGAGAAATACCGGAAAGAATCGATGTATGTTGATATTGTCTTCACATCAATTCCACACTCTCCGGCACGTTTTTCCAAGAATTCAGGAACATGGACACGCTGAGCTCCTGAGATAATTTCCTCCCCTACCACAAAGGCAATCAAAAAATGTAATTATGTCACCTTTTCAATTGAAAAAAAGGGAATAAACATTATTTCCAAGCACACAAAATATGTTTCACTGCATCAGAACTATCAGTCACTTTCTCCTTTAAATTTCTAGAACCAGAAAGCTAATACAAATTGAGGCACTGCAAACATGCAACCTAATGGATCCACTAAAAGAAAGCCTCACAAAAGAGAGGGGAATTGTCAGCAAACAGGTTATTTTTTCCTTAAAAGAAAAAAAAACATAATTCCATAACAAAAGCGGAAAGGTTCGCGAGGAATGGGAGTGTTCCACCTAATGCAATAGGTCAAGAAAAACACACTCCAGCAACCAAGAGGGTATATATGACATAACTCAAGTCAGCACATTCCCGTTTCTCAAGATAAAAAAGTATGTCCTAGCCAACAAATTGGACTAACACGTTCAGAACTAAAACATTCCAACCTAGAGCTACATGTCAAGAAAAGCTAAATTTTGAGTACAACAATGGACACTAAAGAAAAATTGATTTTTTTTTAGAGCGGTTCCTTTTTTTAAGAAATGAAAAAAAGTACTACCTAAATGCACCATACTTCACTCAAAATATTAAACATCCATCTGCTCACAATACATATTTGGCATTAGGAACATTTGAATGAAATCACATCTTACCCATCAAATGAGAATAAAATAATTTTCTCACAATATTAAGAAACTCATAACTTAAATACCTCTGATAAAGACATCAAAAGAATTGCTGTAAGATGGATTGTCATGACAAGGCATGGTATAGAATGGACGAACAGCCTGTGGGTACTTGTGAAGTATATAGAATTCAGTTCCATACCTGAAGAAAAAAGAAAAACAGAAAATTAACACACAACCATCATTCATATTAGGAAAGCAAGAAAGAAAAGGTGAATTGGAAGAAGAGAGTTTTTGTGGTTGGGTAGAGGAGTTATTAAATACTTGTCCGCAACAAGCTGCCCAAGCTTTCTTTCTGATTCTGTATTTAGGTCCCCAAGAGGATCAACTTCAACACCAGCTTCCTGTGAAGCAGAAGAGCATGAAAAGGTTAGACTCATAATTGGGACGACAATGGGAAGGGAAACAGCAAGTTTCTTCCCCAAGAGACTGACATCCAGGGCATGTGGGTGAAACAGGGAACAGAAGGGAGAGCCCAGCAGTTTCCCCCATAACCTATCACTTCGGCTATGTGCAATTACGACCATTTTTTTGGATGACCAAGAAATCCATTTGGGGCCAACCTTTAGGACCAAATGTCCTTCAGAACTCAGGAATAGTGGGCATCACAAATCTACCTTACTCTACTTAAATATCAAACTTAGTTCGCATGATGCAGGGCCCGCACCTGTGACCTAAGTCACAACTCACAAGACCTTCAACCCTTTGCCACTTGAATTAAGCCCTGGGGGCGCAGTTACAATTTTTTGACAAAACTGATGCAATTGCCTGCAAAATTATTAGTTGGGACTCAATTGGCAAGGAAACTCACGATGTGCACGCAGATGAATACAACTTAATTATCAGTTTAGAACTTCTGTGTGCAACCATAGCCCATTGTCAAATTGTTTACTACTTCATGTTCCCTAATCCCTTTTCCCTAAATTTATGCTACTTTTGCACTCGAGATGGTTCGGTTTCTTCAGCACGAGAGAAGCTGATAATAACAGAATGCTTGCCTGTGAAGCTTAGCATGACACCTTATCTTCAGGAAACAGCAAATTTCTACAACAATCATTTACCTTTAGCATTTGAATCCCCTCTGCAAATGTAAGTCGTAAGGTCTTTCGCAAATACTGCATTGTCAATCAAACAAATAGTTACTACCTCTGCAGAAAAATACAAGTTGCTATTTAAGTAACTTTCTCGTGGGTATATAAGTCATTGCCACAAGCAATAAGGTTTCCCTATTTCCAAGAATAAGCATATGCATGTATAAAAGAGCAAGTCAATCTGTGGAGGTTAAGCAATCATAGGTAGCATACTGATCACTGAAGTTGAGCCTAGTTACCTTCAGAGGTTCAAAAGGGTATTGCCTTCCAATGGCTTCAAGTTCCTTTTTGCATTTCTCATTCAAGCTATCAAACATGGCCACAAATAAGCGGTCAACAACATCCATGACCTGCAAAAGTAGACTTCATATTGTAATATCCAAATAAAAGTACACTTCATATTGTACTTGCAGAAGCAGTTTTCTAAGAGGCTCTAGCATGCCATACCTCTGAATAATGTTCCTTGATCTCCATTTCAACATCAAGACCTGTAAACTCACACAGATGTCTATGTGTAAAAGAATCTTCTGCCCTAAAGACAGGGCCTACTTCAAATACACGGCCAAAATCACCACATATTGCCATTTGTTTGTGAAGTTGAGGTGACTGCGCCAGACATGCAGGTTGACCTTTATAATCTAATCTGAAAACAGCTGAACCTCCTTCACTAGACCCTCCAATCAATTTTGGAGTGTGGATTCCTACAAACCCTTCAGAGAGCAAAAACTGCCTGAATATCTGCATTTAACCGTAGAAAATTAGCTCATCATTTATAGTTTGCAAGCACTCAATAGAAATGTAGGGAACAATCTCGCAACTTCTTTCTTTTTGTTAACAAGTTTTCTTCTATTATCACCAGAAAGTGACTGGAACCACAATCTGAATCACTTCTACATTAAAAATATAACAAGAATAAGAATATGATATTGTGAAAATGTGCAAGCAAGGAATATGCATCAAGGCACCATGTCTAGAAACAGTGATACTAATTCCATTGTACGGTGGATAGAGATTGGTAAAAGATTACCATATATCTTTGTGGCTACATCTCAAGAAAAAATGAAGCTACCAGTTTTGAATCTTAAATCCTCATGAAATGACAATTCATAACAAGCATAATGCAGATGTGTAGAGAAGATGAAAATTAAAGCAAACACAAAATGAAGTAATTCAAATAAATTCAGTTGGATACACTTGGGTGTTAGCTAACATTAAACTTAAAAAGACTTGTTAATAATAACGTCACTATAAATTTTGTTTTTGGATAAATGAGAAGTTTATTCAATATTTTATAGCACCGAGGATGTGTTGTAATGGCATACAAGTTACATTCTCAGGGATTACAATAAGTACCAGAAATTCCCCAAAGAGTTCACTGTATCTTGTTTATAACAAATTATACAGGTCC